AACATGATCCCGGCTCGATGTGGCATCATGATGCGACTCGGGAATAAATTCCGGAATAGGAAACATGAAGACAACCAAGTAGCAGGCCACATCGAGGTGTGGCAATGGGCACAACAAGCGAAGGGCACCGTCTCACAACCAACGGCCAGATCCCAGTGGAAACGTCGGAGAATGATGACCTGGCGTCGGGATCGCATCTCAGTCATCTGTCATTAGTCGTCAGTCAAAGAATAGAAAGCACGGAGAAAGATAACGGCCGCAAACGGGCAGAAACGGAGGGTCTGGGTAAGTAATTCTTCCAATTTCTTCGTGCCATTCGCTGGATTGTGACCAGCGTTTCTTTCGATCGATCGATCGAGAGAGAGATAACAGAGGCAAACGGCCACAAACGGAGGGTCTGGGCACGTAAATCTTTCCTGCCTTCAGCTGGATTGCGACCACCGTTTCTTGAAAAAAAAAGAAAGAGAGAGAGAGAGAGACACGCACACACAGAGAGAGAGAGAGAGAGAGAGAGAGAGAGAGAGAGGAGAGGTAAACGGCCACAAACGGTCTCCAAGCGGAACAGAGAGAGAGAGAGGCACTGAACCCTCGTTGGTCGACGGGGAGAAAAACACATAGATGATCCATTCTGGATCCAGATCCCAGGCTGGGATCAAATCCAGGGCTGTTGATTGTGATTTATATTCATTTATTTATTAATTCTTGCGGTGGGAAATGCCAATTAGCATAGCCCCAATTAGCGGATAATTCCAATTAGCGGATAATTTTTACACTAAGGGAAGATCTCATCTCGGTCCAGACACCAGATCCTACACCCTTTTTTTCTTTTTTTTTTCTGCGGAGTAGGCGATGCCCCCTGGGACCTTGCCTAATGGGGATGCCCTCTTGCCTAATGGGGATTATTTCTACAGATTTGTAATTACGGGATGAATGTCTCCGTATTCCAAACAAACAATAAAAAAAGATTTTATTTTTTGGCGTTTTCTTTTAATCGGGGGATTATTTCTATAGATTTTTACTTAGCGGATGACCCGCGCGGTCAGGACGGAGCGGAGTGACCAAACGGGACTTTCTTGAGTCCTCGCCAAGTGCTACCCCTTCTTTTCCCCGAACAGAAGGCATATGCGTTGTATTCGAGATTTCGGGAAAAGAACTGTATGCTGATTTAAGGGCTGTTCGGATTTAAGCTAAGTCCACATGCATCCAGGAACACCGGGCGGCGGGCGGACCCTCAGCATGAAGCAGCAAATTTGGCAAAAAACTCGGTTTCAATTTCGTTCAAAAAATAAAAAATGTCCATTTTGACGAAATGGCAGTTACTCCAGAGTCCATTTTGTTCCTGCCTACCACAGCATAGAGAAGGGTTAAGTAGGGATTAAGGCCCTCGCCCCACAGCGCACGAAAACGAAAACGAAACGAGAGCATCTGCCCACGGAAGGTGGCAACATACACTGGTTACTATTTATAGCAAACGGATGAACCTGGCCATTTTCTTCAGGAAGATGCACTCGTTTCGTTTTTCGTTTCGTGTGCCGTGTCCGAAAATTTGATGTGTAGATGCTAGACCAGCTGCCTAGCTTTGCTGTCAATGACATCTTGTTTGTTCATGATTGTCCTAGGTGCCATTGAATGGTTATGGGTCTGCCTCGGTCCTCGGAGACTTGGATTCCTACAAGACAGAGGGGTTCATGGCCCCTACACCAGTTCATTCCCTCTGCTGTGCTTTGTGGTGGGTTGATTTGATAGTATTTTATACCCCTCTATCGTTTAGGGGTATCAAATCGGAGGCTCTCGGAAATGCTTGCATTGCTGGAGTAATTGCCTAAAACAAGGGCTGTCCTTTAGGGCCAATTGATTTTGCATTTCGGGGGCTTTCGCAAATGCTTGCATTGCTCGACCAATTGACCATGTTTAGGGTCTGTCAGCCACCAGTCTACCCGACTCTATCGTTTAGGGCCAATTGATTTTTCATTTCGGAGGCTATCGGAAATGCTTGCATTGCTCGAGTAATTGCCTCAAACGAGGGATCTGAAGCTCTTATGAGACAAGTCAAATCGTTCGCAAAGAGGATAGTGATAGTGGTGGGTAGTCAAATCGGGGTGGTGACCGTCTTCCATTCACCATTCAACATTTGATTGAGGGGTCTTTTTTCCGGAAATGTTCCAGAAATGATGTTATGGCCTCCCCGCAAAAAGGAGTCGGTGTCTGTTTCTTCCCTGTCATCTTCCTCTTCCATGTCTTTGTCCTCTTCATCTTAGCCCTCTTCCTCATCCGACTCTTCAAATCGGTCTGACTCACCTTCCACATAAAAGTGACCGATCGATTTGCAGTTTTGCAGGCTCTCTTTGTCATGTCCACTAAAGGATGTGGAATTTGGTGTTGAGCATGTCGAGTCCTGTTGTCACTGTTGTGAGTCTGGGACTCTGGGATTGTTCCTTCTTCAGACTCTTCACCGGAATAGAACGCCCGGTCATGATAGCTGCATCTCGTCTGAAAGTTGCCCCAAATACAGCTATAATGACCGGGCGTTGTATTCGGGTGAAGACGGTAGCCCTCTTCTGCATTCGGTCTGATACCGTGCAGCTCATGCTTAAAGGGGAGGGTTAATGAAATGTGGCCCGCTCGGCCGTAAAGCCCCTCCCTTCCCACC